GCAGCGACAGCTGCTGCAGGAGAGGGATGCAGAAAAGGGATCTTCCCCAGAGTAATAAACTTGCAAAGTTAGAACGCTTCTCAAATAACTTTAAGGTTAGTTAAAATCCTTCAAGTTGGTCCACAAATCATTCTCTATACGGAACTTGCTGTGCTTCCTCATGCTCTGGAACTACAGTAATTGTGACTTTCAGATCTCTCTATGCAGTGTCCTTTGTGGCGCTTTGGAAGCCATGAAACCACATATACATGTTTTAACATCTCAGTTTTCTTTGTGTGAAAAAGAGCTTTATATGTTGTGGGAAAGAGATGTAAAGAAAGAAGAGTCATATACAAATAAACAAAAATCATGTTTTGACATTGTTATTGACGTATTAGACCACATATTGATTTAAATGCCAAGATGCAGAAATGCATGTCTTTATAATGAATCCCGATCGCTCCAACATATAAAACTCTGCTCATTCAGTGTTTTATATTTAAGGGGGGGGTGCAGATTAGGCTACAGGGCAAACTCAGGCTTAACTTTTCAAATTTTTCTCCACCACCAAGTTTGTGAGCACTTTGTAAAGTATAATTTTCAAGTATCTAAAATTTCACACAAACAGCTAAGTGCTCTAAAACCACCACCAATGTATGTACCCCCTTTGGAATGAAGGGCAGTCTAATACTGCAGGAAGAACTCAGCTTTGGAGTGAGATAGTTGGGTTTGAATACCACCTCTGTTACATATGGCCCAGGAGAACTTTTTTGTGCCTGTTTCCTCATCTGGGAAACAGGTTGTTTCTGGAATTAACTTAAACGCCACAGTCTATGTGTAATACACAGCATGCTGTTCGGCACCTTGCAGATATCCCAAAGTGGTAGCTTTTATGATTGTAAGTTGTGCCACATACACAACGAAGGAGGACCTGGAAGAACAGAACACGAGTCCCTTTACATCTGTAGCACTCACTCACTCCTTTCTTCAGAAATATTAACTGAGAACAGACTGAAGGTACTGTGGTAAAATGACACAGGCTCAGTGTTTTTAAAGTACTACTGCATAATTGTCTGGATAATGAAATGCTACTCTTACACAAAATGGTACCTATTGATTTATTCTGAGAATCTCTTCAGGTTCAGTCCACAAGCTGAAGTGCAGCAAACTTTAGCTCTGTGTGGCAAAAGGAGGCTGTCAAGCACAGGTGGTTTACCCACCAGCCTCATGCCCCGTAGCATATGTTGATGGGATGTATCAAAAAAGGCAAGGGAATTGATCAGTTCCCTTCACCATGACCCAGGAGAGTGAGCAGCAAAGACTGGTGAAACAGAATGCATCTACATCATCACGTGCCCATCCCTCCACGGCCGCAAAACAAATTAGCCAGGAATCTGGATGGAAGGAGACAGCAAAAGCAAATGATACGGTCATGGCACTGGCCTGATATTAAAGGAATGGGAAAAAAGTGGAAGTAAGGATCCTCTGGTCTCCCAGTCACCTTTGACCCTAATGATTCTGTAGCATAGGATGAATCTAAGTCTAAATAAGAATTTGGATTTAAGTACCATTCCATAACAGTCAGCCATGATAGGACCCTATCTTGGCCTGTGAGCCATCTTTATACTTATGCTTTCTGACTTTCTTCCCCTGCAGCTCTGACCCAGCCTTTCAGAAAACCTGGGAGGCCCTGGAGTTAGAGGGTAGGCAGTAGACAGCTTGACAGGGGTCCTACGACCTGGGCAGGCCCACTTCTCAGAGCGTGCCGTTATTTGGGGGGCTGGGGCCTGGACCAGCTTTGCTTCCCACGAGGCCCAGAACACATCTTGTGTCCTACCATGCCTTAGAGTTCAATCTGTCACCTCAGTCCTCTCTGTCCTGGTGTTCCCATCAGGCCTCTGCAGGGCCACAATTTCTGGGCTCCTGTTTGTTCTTTCTTCTCAGGACTTTGCTTTACCTTCAGAAGCAAAAAAACAGAGAGTAAATGGCCACTGGCCTTGAGATGTAAGAGCCCCAAGAATCAGCGATTGTCACACATTGTTATGATTGATGTGAGAATGAAAGGGATGAGTACTCCACGTCCCGGGTGCCGATTACAGAGGTGATTGAGGCTGGAACCCTGATGGCGTGGCAGGCTTCCAGACTGAGGGTGAGGTCCGAGTGGGAACCAGGGGAGGGGCCTGAGTGAGGAGAGGAAAAGTCCTATGAGGCCATTGACCACACAGCGAGTAAGCCCAAAATGCAGATGTCAATGTAAAACAGGATACTTTTGATAAAAACATGGTTACATGGGATAAAAACACAAAGATTCCTTAAGGGAGGTTCCCCTGGAACTTCTAGTTGGTTACTCCCTACCACCTCCACCCCCCAAGAAAACCTCTGTAGCTGAGGGTGGTCAAAGAAAACCAGAACTAAAGAAATAGGACACAGGGAAAATGATTATGGGCAAACCTTACCATAGTCTCAATTTTAGAGAACGAGAAAGAATACACAATAGAGAAAAACATCCTGAATCCATTTGTATTATATTCAGCATAGGGCCTATGGCAGATACTAAATTGTGGTAACTAATTTGATCTGAGGAGGGTTGCAGTGAAAGACCACAGAAAAAATTCTTTGTGGGCTGGCCCTTAATAGACACAGGAATATGGGGAAACACGTATTTCTCTATAGCATTCCTTTTGGGTATGTAATAAGTGTCCATTCATTGAGCTTTCTCTCTATACCAAACACTAACCTATCCTTGTGACCTGAATTTTCTGTAATCTCGTAACAACCTGCCAGGTTGGTGTAACAACTCTCGTTTTAGCCGTGAGCCAACATGCTCAGTGAGAGTAGGGAATGTGCCCAGGCCACTCCCCTAATGAATGACAGAATAGCATTTAAATCCAGTTCCATTCACAATCCCCTGTTCTTGAACCCACATGAATGGAATGGATGTGAAAAATATCTTCCATGTTATATGCACACTGCTTGAGGTAGATGGAGCCGAAGTGAGTCATAAATGATACTGTCATTTGGCCCCTTTGGTTAGTGTCCTGGCGTCTTTCTCTCAAGCCGATAAGCTCTCTCATCTTGGCTACCTCTTTTCTCCCCCTCCATTTTGACTGTTGTCTGTTCTAATTTTAGAATTATAGTTCCTGAAGCAAAGATACTGAGAGATGGGGTTCTGTGGAGCTGTAAGTTCTGTAAGGGCCATTCCTGTATAAAGCCCACACCTAGTGGTAGTCCGTTGGTTACAGGAGGTGAGCCCAGGAAGGAGGCACATTCTGAAATGGCCTTAATCTGAGAAAATGAAATTACTGTCTGAAGTACCTGGTATGATATGCTCACTTTCACTGCCTCTTTTCTTTTGTTAGTGTCCCCTCTTCCTGCTACCCCAATATTTGAAAAGTTGATCATTGCATAAAAGACATGAAGTTTTCCATTGGGCTTCTCTGTAGAGTTGTACATTTAATATTCATGTCTTCCAGTGATGAAAAAACATGCCATGCTTGATCTCTGTATCCCACAAGGAATAAAAGACCCTGAGAGAAATGAAAGATCATAATAGCATAAAAAAGATCTTGTATCAGTATTTTTATGACCAGAGCTCTCCTAAATAATGGATGGATCTACTCATGAAAATCTTATTTCTGTCAGTAAAACCAAGTCTGATTGAGACCCCATATTACTGAGAAAGGCACCATCATATACTGCTGGTTAAGTTCAAAGTAGTGCGGTCCTTTCACACTTAGTTTGGACTAGAATTTTAAAAGGTTCTGATCAATCATGACTTACTCATGCTACCTCTGGGAGCCTATCCCAAGGAAAGACTTTTAAGTAGAAAGAGGATTTTTGTGCAGCAGTTTTTCAAAGCAGAATACTTATCATAATGGAAAAATGATAAACCTTAATGTGAACAAAAGGGTGACCAATGGAAGCAATTATATAAATGATAAGGAAGTATATTGTGTGAAAAGTGCTACAATACTTTAAAAACTGGATTAAAGTTAAATATAGTATGAGTGTAACTATGGGAATAAGATCTACATATTTTAAAAAATTTTAAGAAACAACAGAAACACAGCCATGCTACAAAGGATTGTTTCACTGGTGGGACTATGGGCAACTTTTTTTTAAGCCCATATTTCCATATGAGGAATAGTACCTCTTACATCATTAAAAATCAGAAAGGATACCCAGAACTGGATTTCAAACGCTTAAAAACCATTCCATACCTACTGTGTCTATCTCCAGAACATGGCCCTCTCTTCCCATCTGCATTGTGTGGGTGGATCTGAGTAACTTCCTAGCTCTCGGCTCAGTCCTCAACCCTGACAGCAGGCAGGTCGAGTGGATTAACTGGAAGATTTGGAAATGAAGATGGGTTCTCTATTCCAATTCTCCCTTGTCCTCCTGGACAAGTCAGGGTGAAAAGTTTGTTGAGTAGGGAGAAACTGCTTAGAAGAAAGCCATAATGTGAAACACAACACCAGTCAGAACAAATCCTCTTTTGACTGTTGCTGAGCTTACCTGTTTTATTTGCCTTGTGGGTAAACAGGTATTGCCTATATCTCTGTCTCAAACACTTATGTGTAAAACAGCAAATATAGTCAGTGGTTCTGTTTTCATCCAAAACAGTGTGTCTTTTGGAATTATGTCATTCGTTTCAATTAAAGATGTTTTGGGTGGGGGTGGCCATTACTAAGTCTTTTTCACTGAAACCAAAGAACTGGGCATTTTATCTTTGTGTGTGTTTCCTGATTTCCAGTCAAGTTAGGAACATTTCAGTTGTTCATCTTCACCTTCATTACTTGAAGGGCTGTGAGAACAGTGGCCTTTTTCTAGTTCGGAAATGCATGGTGTGTAGCTGAGAGCACACAGATCTCAGGTGCATTGAATACTAATAAACTGTTTAGTGAGAAAAACTAAAGTGGAAAAAGCACCAATAGTTACAGTTATTCAGCATATGTTTGTATTTTAGGGGGGAAGGGAGGGACCACTTGTTTCTTATTTTTCCCCCTTTTTTCCCTCCTTAGACAAAGCCCGTTGCATTTGCAGTTCGGACAAATGTCAGCTACAGTGCAGCCCATGAAGATGACGTTCCGGTGCCAGGCATGGCCATCTCATTTGAAGCAAAAGATTTTCTGCATGTTAAGGAAGTAAGGAAAATAATTTGAATTTTTGTCTGCACGATTTTTTCACCTTGTAACATCATTTATTTCTTATTGCTGTGAAATTGCATTGCAGAGAGCTGCAGTTATATAACATATACATGAAATTGGTGCCTCTCAACCTTTTCTAATACAAATACAACCTTTAAAAGGAAGAAAGCAGTTGCAGGCCTCTTGTGGTAACTTCAAGGCTCTCCTGGGCTCTCTGACCCAGAAATTGGGAACTACTGGAGGAGATGATCTCTTTTTATGCTTAACCTGTACTTTTTACTTTAATTTTTGACCTTGACTGTGTGTTGTTGTCCCCTCATCTCTCCAGTTTAACCGTCTGGGAGGGTTTAATAATAATATCTAGAATTCATGACCTCTTCTCTCTGCTGCCAGTGTCAAAACTCAAGACCACTGGTGCCCCTATCTGCCTTCGCTGATGGATTTCTGTAGTAGAAGGGAGAGTGGGAGGAGTTGAAGCCAAGAAGGCAAGAAACAGCGAGAAAATCCCTTTCCTCCATGTCAAAAGTCAACAGCTTTCAGTTAATAACGACTCAGACCTGTCAATTAGACAAATTCACCCTTAATGCAGGTTTACTTTGAGCCAACATTTATCAGATGCTTACTGCACAGAACACTGTATTAAATGTCCAGAAACTCCCCCTGCATGATGCTCTCAGTGCGTGAGCATGATTTCCTTAGCTTGCAGGAACTTGCGGTTGGAGTCTAGGGGATGATATGTCCCAGGAAGCATATGTAAATTTAACTGCTCACTGCACCAAAGGCTATAAGCAAAGGAGGTGATGAGTACCTATTAAAAGAGCCTAGACACTTTAGAGTCTCCCATTTAATTAATGTTTAAAAGGGAATGTGAAATATTGACTAGGAGGGAAGGATAGAAAGTTTTCAGAAGGGATGACATGCCTCGAATCTGACTTTATAACAGGAAATAAGATTAATCCAGGTCTCCTCCTGATGGCGGGTGCTTGGAGAGGGATCTCTTTCTACTATGAAAGGAAAAGAAACCAGAACGGATATTCATCATCGAAACATTCAAGAACAGACTTGAAAAATACTATTTAGTTGAGGAAAATCAAAACAAATCATAAAGATTTAGGATAAAATTCTGACCACAAGAGAGAAATTTTCAACATCAGCAGAAATAGAGAAATCACCTGTGAACAGGGTACCTTGCTCATTACAAACACATTTGCACAAACATGAATTTTGCTCTGATGCAAACACTCTCTGGTGCTTAATGGCCTCTCCTTAGGAAGGGCTGTTAGTCTTTGAACAAGGAGAATGTAACCTTCTCACGGTTGACAGCAGCAGTTGTGCTAGAATTCAGACCAGTCTTAATTCTTAGCTGAATTATTCATGTTAACTAAAAATACTTCATTTTTACATACTTAATCCATGAATTTAAGGGATTTTTTTGAATTGTGATCATTGATGCATAGTTAATTGTAATTGCCATAATAGTTCTCTCCACTGAAAATAGTTAATGTGGGAAAAAAACAATTTAAGGATTTGAACTTCTGTGCACTGATGTTAACAATTCTGATTTTGTGTTTAGAAATTTAACAATGACTGGTGGATAGGGCGATTGGTTAAAGAAGGCTGTGAAATTGGATTCATTCCAAGCCCAGTGAAACTCGAAAATATGAGGCTACAGCATGAACAGAGGGCCAAGCAAGGGAAATTCTACTCCAGGTATGAAAAGAACATCAAGTGTTTGTGTAAAAGTCCAGATTATACGATCATTCACGTACTGTTGTTTGCTGCATTCCATAATGTTTATTACATGTTATCAAGTGAATTAGTGATTGGGCTTATTGATGGTATCACAAGTCCTGCATTTTAAAAAGTTCATCTCTGCATCTCATTTCCATTTGATCTGGGAGAGAATCAAATTAATTATTATCATTAATGAAAATAGCTAAGGTCATAGAATATTAAATTTAGGCTTTAGTTCAGAGCAAATCCGCAAGTCCTAATCTTTTACTGAAAATATTCTGGCACTGACGAAACCTGGTGACAAATCTGCATCTGCAGCCACCTGGCATGGCAGGAAGACATTTTAGGGATGACAGTCCTAGACAGCGTTGGCAGAGAGCAGCCCCTGTGGCCAGTTAGATTTCATTTTCACTTGAGAAACTCAATTTTCAGTTACCCCTACTGCTAAGCACTTAAAGGGAAACTCAATACGAAACCAGTTAAAACTGACTTTGCAGATAGCAATTAAATGACTTATGTAATAGGCTGGGGCTGAATAACCCTCACTAGCATTCTGGCAGTGGTTTGAAAGAGTCACTAGAAGGGTTACTCAGATGGAGTGAATTTTAAATTAAACCCTATGTAGCCAAGTCCGAGGACATGGCAAGCTTCTCCCTATGTGAAAGGATGTGATACAGACAAGTCTCTTATTTAATGTGAATAACTAGGCTCCTATTTTCTCTAGCTCATGTTTTATTTGTTTATACAATGATACAAATCCTTTGTCAATGATAATGTTTTAGCAAAAATTTTTTTCAAGTGTCCACAGCAAGCAAAATAGACGAAGCTTTTTGGTGAAAAACATCTGTCGTTTTTAACTTGTATTTTATAACTGTCAGGCTCTTGGTTCAGATGGATCCCTCCCTTCCCTGTGACCTCTGCTTTATATTTGATCTTTATTAGTCCCTGGGTTATTGGGGGCCCTCAGATTGTAAGATGCATTTAGTCTTAAAAAAGTAGAGGCATGGAGATAAACAAAGCATGTGCTTTTTATCTGTGGGGTATTGACAGTCTGATACTATTCATTCCATCTCTAGTGTTCGAGTGGTTTTTGTATGTATTTGTCTATTTTCCATATTGATAATGATATCTTAATGCTAGTTAATAAAATCTTATAATTTGGAAAAACTTCATATTCCTGGGGCACAGACCACTGTTACCAACTTTGTAGTACTGCACATAGTTTGTCAAGGTTTGAAGTTACTGTATTTTTCAGACCATAAGATGCACCTAGATTTTAGAGGAGGAAAATAGGAAAAAAGTTTTGAAGCAAAAAATGTGGTAAAATATTTTAATAACATAAATAACATAATATTTCACAAATGTAAATGTAAACAGAACTCAACAGCAGCATTAACAACCATTATTCCTCCCATATTTGGTGGGGTGGGAAAGTACGTCTTATAGTCCAAAAATACGGTATCTTAGCCAGGGGACATTTTGTTTGGGTTTAGTTTGTTGGGGTCATTCAGCATTTCCAGAGTTTTCCTGTCCAGTCATTTGAGAGAAGGGTTCCATGGTCAGGGCAGTAAAAAGTTATTTTAGGGATTTTCAGAGCCTTTAAAACGTTCACGTGCACTGTGAATCTGGGTGGTAGAACGAGGATGTTTTTCATGCATATACTTAAGTTATCTTATACAGACTTTTCTTGGTTCACATCTTAGCAATAGCATTTTGTAGAATGCATTGCGGAAAATTTGGAATAGGCTTTTACAGAAACAGATTTGTGTATCTTTCTCTGCTTCTTCATATACAAACTGAAAAAGAAAAACTTCTAAAGGAATAGGAAGGGGGATAAGTTTTTGCAAAAATGGCTAAGGAAGCACAGTTTCCTCTGCGTCCCACCTGGCCATCCTGGTCTACAGTTAGTCATCAGCTCAGCTCTCTACTGGTACCTGTGGGAACAGTGTGTGTATTAGAGCCTCTGCTTCACAGATGAGGAAACAGGCCAGGAAAAGCTAGGAAACTGGACCAAGGCCACACAACTAGAGAGTGCTAGAATCAGGATGGACAGATTGCAGCCTGACCTCAGATGGATGACCACGCCCTATGAGAGTCATGTAGCCAGGACCTGACATAGCAAGCACAGAATAATTGTTATTATTATTGCCAGCTGTTATTATTAACCATATTAGATACATTATTTATTCTTGCATTTTTAAAAATGCTATACAATCTCTGCATTTGGGGTAGCATCATCTCATAACTTAGTCTGGGGAACTAGGTTTCCTTTCTTATCACCATGTGCATTTTCTTTTGATTTCTCGATTTCATTTTGTCCTGTCTCTTTACCTAAGCTTTTGCCTAAATATTTGAAAATGTTTTTACTTCCTTTCAGAGGTTTTTACATTTGTCTTCTAACATTTTAAATAAAGGTTTTTTTGAGAACATAATTGGAATTCAGCAGTATTTTAAAACTCATACATACATGGGAAACATTGACTGAAACCAGAGGTAGCAGAATTTCAGCACAGCTCAAGAAGGTAGCATTTTACAGAATTAAAAATTAAGGACAAATTTACATTCTGAACATTTTGACTATTTACTGTGTTGCAATTTTACACAATTCAAATAATACTTTGACTTTTATTAAAGTTCAAATAGAATGTAAAACAAACCCATGCTTGAATTGAAATTAGACTTGGTACTTTAGAAAAAGAAAAATTCCAGAAGAAAATGTTTTTGTCCTGGTAATGGGTATTGTGTAACTACTGGAGATTGTTTCCATAAATAACACTTTTTAGTCATTTTATATGCTGTCTAGTATCCTTGTTAAATTCACTGAAGTATCTTTTAAGAACTTGGAAAGCATGTAGAGGCCTTATGCTAGTTGCTTCAAGTTTGTGATGTTTGTTTTATGCATTAAAATCCCAGGATAGCAGTGATAAAATTCAACCTGCTACTGTTGTTTTTGTGTATTATTGGTTACATAAGTCAATACTACCCTTCCATACATAGACTCTGTATGCAGAAAATTATTTCAACCAGACCCTGGTTTGGCTGTGATAATAAACTTCAGGCAATAGAACTGTCCTCCTGAAATCCCATGTCACTCTCTGCAGATATTCCTTTCCACCTTCATTTGTGAGGGGGCCATTTAGTAAAATGTTATTTAGCGCACTGCTACCCTGGTACAAAATGTAAATGCTGTTGTAATGTTAAGACACAGAATCATGTCTTATATAAAACTTTAGAGTCTGGTAGTTCTGAAGTATACGCCCTTCAGATCATCCCTCAATTAACCAAGCTGAATCCTCCATGTTAGCCATGCTTGAGAAATGTTCCAGATAGGATCAGTGATATGTGTGACGCTGTTTGTTGTGTTCCTTCGTGTGTCTTTTAAAGGTTAGCAAGTTTTTGAGTTGCTGTTTCCTTTTATAAGTAACTCGTAAAGATTTGAGTCCTTTGAATCTTAGTATAATCAATAATCAAGCTAAGCCAAAAATAATCAAGCTAAGACAAAGGAGCAGGAACCAACTAAAAAGGAAGCAGTAAGTTCACATTGCTTTGGAGAGTCTCTAAGATAAAAGAAGCAAAGGACATCTCTGCTGTTTTCTACCTGTGATCCTGGCAGAGAATTTGAAGGCTGCAGAAATTATCTGGATTCTCTTCCAATCCCTCAGGGCTGTTTAAAATTAAACCTTAAACTTGGAACAGAGACTATTACGTGGCTGTCTGTAGTGCCTAGGAGTCTCCACGAGGAATTACTGTTTACCTCCTTGTAGGGAAGACAAATTTAAAATTCCATAAAAACTCAATGAGTGATCATGTTTATTGAGGAACACAAATGTTTTAAAACCTGCAGTAAGTGTCAGATTTAATATAAATTTTTGCTTTACTCCAGTAAATCAGGAGGAAATTCATCATCCAGTTTGGGTGACATAGTACCTAGTTCCAGAAAATCTACACCTCCATCCTCTGGTAAGTAGGTGATAAGTGTTGAACAATTGCATACTGCATTTCATGCTTTCCTCATTCTTACCTAGTTGTTTGAATTTACATGCACTGAGTCTTGTACGAACCTCAGAAATGTTAAAAGGGATCAGAAGAAATAAGAGTGTCCATATGCAGTTAGGAAGAATCTGGGAAAAGTTTTTCTGGCTTTGGGGAAAAAAATAAAGGAAATATGTTAACGTGTTCACTGTCAGTTGCTTTAATGATCAAAGTGATCAACTTATTTAACTTTTTATCCTTAGTATCCACACAGCACATTGTCATGAGCACTGAATGGGTGAATGCCAGCCACAGTGCATATGAAGTGTAGGCCACATTGTTAAGTAAAAAGAGGAAAGAACTAAAACTTCGGAAAGGCGAGGAAAGAAAAATAAAATGAGGGAATTATAGGCCTGACATGAGCTATAGTCTAAAGACTCTGGAAGATACGGAAGATGTATGCAAGTATCAAAATCAGATAAAAACATTTGTGGGAAGAGTGACTACTGTTTTATTTGTAAAAGAGTGACTACTGTTTTATTTGTAAAGTAGTAGATTCGTGCTTAGGGTTGTTAGATAAAATGAAGGACACCCAGGTAAAGCTGATTTTCAGGCAAACAACAAATAACTTGTTAGTGTAAGCAAGTACTATATGAGATATACTTAATGATAAAAAATTATTTATCGGTTATCTGAAATCAAACTTAACAGAATTCTTTGTTCACTAAATGTGGCAGCTCTCCCATTCTGTGCAGTACTTGGGGTTCCATAGAAATGGGGGATTGATTGGTCACATCGCATGAAAGCCTGCAATCAATCTGAGTTCACTAAGAGATGCAGCTGAGAGTCACAGTAAGATTATAAGGACTGGCCCGCAGAGCATTTGAGCAACACGATTCCAAATCCCGTTTCTAGGAAGCTGACGGTGGGAAGAGGTCAGGCACAGAGAACTGGGCATCAGTGAAGCTAAGGAACTAGTTGCACTTTGACTGCTTTGTCTTAAGAATGGGGCTCCCCTGTTACTAATCACCACACTTCACTTTAGATGGTGGTAGCTTTTAGAGACCAACCTAGGGCATCTTAGTAAAAACTGTAGGGCATTTTACATGAGCAAGATGTGAACACAGTGAGAAATAAGTCATTGTAGGAGGTATGTTGATTTAAAAAACACTCGTACTTATAATTCAGAGCAATTCTAAATTGCTCAAAAGAAAGTAAAATAGTATGTTTGAAAGGAAAAAAATGAAGCCTTTTTTTTTTTAGGTACAATGTGAGGTTTATGCCTGCCATTGACCAGGAGGGGGTAGTTAGTAGATATTTTTCGAAGGCATGAGAAAAAGGAGGCTTATCTGAGCTTCTTGGTAAACATGTCAGGTTATAGGGATTGCAGTATAAACCTTACACTCTTCCTGTACATTTTAAAGGCTGCCAGGGGACCCCCAAGGCTAGAGACTAAGCCCCTGAACTGGGGAATGCCACATCGAATTGTGGTAAAGCAGCGGCTCCTCCCGCAGCTGGCAGCCCCCCTTCCACAGGCCAGGGAGGCTCCTCCCTCCCCTCCAGCCAGCCTGCAGCCTTCTCGTCCTTTGGGCAGTGTAATAAGAGTAGGTGCATTTTGAAGAGTAAGTTTGTGTATTTGTAAAATCACACTTAATTTTTGTAGCCAGATGTGTGTCATTATGAAAAATAAAGTTCAATGAAGAGTTTAATATAATAAAATAAAGGTGACTTAAACCTTCACCCAAGTTTTATACAGATACAGGACTCTGGAATAACTTTTCCAAATACCAGGAGTAGAAAATACTTGTGTCTGCGTGGATTGGAGATACAAAATCTATCTTACGCACGTCAGAATCCTGGTATAATTTTTGTATCAAATGCCCAACTTACTTGAAGGAAAATTTGAGAAAATTCTACAGAGAGGGCCCCCCACCCACTTCGAGGGAAAGCTGCCTCAGCTCTCAAATGCGGATCTGTCTGCAGTCTCAATGTCCATCTTTGTTTCCCAGAAGCGCTCTTGACAACTTTCCTCACCCATGGCTGCACCAAAGAGTATAAGCATCTGCCTAAACTAAATATATCTGGAGATGCTTAAGGACTTGGAAAAAGAAACATTTCCACTTCACACCTGGGGAGTAGGGAGGCTGGCAGGCATGTAACACACACCCACAGCTACACAGACGCACCCATCCCTGTGACTCCCATGCCCCACCTAACGTGACCCGAGTGTCTAAGACTAAACTAGTACTTAAATCTCAAAAACTGTCCCCAAGGCTCTCTAGCAAAAAAAAAAAAAAAAAGCCTACTGGTGAGGAAGAATGAAAGAAACTAGTTTCATATTTATAGAAGCAGTTTTTCCCAAGGAAATACCAATGTTTACCAGCATGTGCAAATAGAAGCATGCAACTAAAAAGGGGTTACATTTCTCAGCCTAAGGAGAACCACTGAGTTGAATAAAGTGCATAGTGTAGAGAACTATGAAGAGAATTGAACTTGCCTCTTAACTCTTCATACACTTCTTTAATGTGTTTTGAAAGTGGCCAGATGTTTTAGAATCCTCTGTTTCAGAATGAACCCACATGGCTGTTAAGTCAACCAAAAGTCAGAACTAGTAAGTCGGTGTGTTTTCAACTTGGGGCTTTGAGCCCCTGTGACCAGATGCAGGTGAATCTCAAACCTGACTCGGGCTGCGTGTGTGGGCAGCCAGACCGCAGGGCAGTGTCACAGCTAAATCTTTGGTACGTTCCCACTCTTCCTTTAAACAATAAAAAATTCAGCTGGTCATAGCAGGTCAGAATCAATGGATAAATCACAAAATCCAGTTCATGAACTTGGCTATGGCAGGGTCCTGTCAACGGTGACATCCACATAGGTCTCAATTTCTAGAAGGCTCTCAGGAGGGACTGTCCCTTGAAGGTGGCTTTCATAAACTCAGGAAAAGATGAGAAAGGTAAATGTGCACAGGAGTTTCCACCAAAAGGGAGACCTGGCTGGTGTTGGTTGAGGCATAGTGTAGGAATAGTGAAATGGTGACCCAGATCCTCTCTGTCACACCCAGGAGGACACCAGTGACCCGCTTTCTAAGGTGGGATTCAAGGGTAAACATTATAGAGTGCTATGAAAGTCAGCATCGATTCCAAACCCCAGGCACATTTTAGAATGTTTCCATTGCACAGTATGGGCGGAACCATCCCGTTCATCAATATGCATGCATGGCAAAGAGAGAGAACACATTTACTAGGCAAGTCTAACTAAATGCCTGGAATTAACTCAGGCCATTATTACCTTCACTGGAGAGAAAATCATTGTACCTCATCTTCATTCCAGCAATAGCTGATATTTGCAATACTGTGCAAACAATGCCAGGTTTTACATGCCATACATGCTTGTGACCCATCAAGTGAAAAGGAACACTTAAACAAGAGATGCTAGTGCTCAAAAGGCTGAGTCATCTAATATCATAATAACTTCAGAATTGAAAAATAAGGTGACACCTGTCAGATGGTCGCCTGTCGTGTGAAAAGGTTAGCAGCGCCTGTCTTGAGCACTGATTCAGCTTGCGTGTCACAGGGAAGGGTAGTGTGGCTTTGCAGCACCAGCTGCCGGTTATTTCAACAGGTAATTTCTTCCTTAAACCAAAATGTACTGTGGTTTCTGTTAGAGAGATAACATGTGTAATATGATCCTGTGATGCTTTCCTGGGGTGAGTAGATTTTCTTCTTTTCTTCTACTTGACCTTATCTAAATCACAGAACAATGTTCTAGTGAGCTCAGCTCGATGATACTTTCTGCATCCTGACACTGGGGACAGGACCCCGCTGGGGAGCAAAGGGAACTGATTAGCCGTTGGCTTTGAGAAGGGGCTGCACCTGAGGAGGCCCCAGTGCGGCGACAGGAAGGGACTCCCAGGGGCAGGAGAACCACGTTCTGCGTCCTGGCTCTGCAGAATTTTTGCCAAGAACAAGTCCCTTAAACTCTTTAAGAGTTTATGTTTTAAAACTTAACAATAAGAGTTGAAGATTATCTTTAAAATACTTTCCAGCTCTGGTTTTAACAGTTGATAAAATTCTCTAGTAATTACACATGGAAGCATTTTATAAACTTCAAAATGAAATGATGGGTCTTTATTTATTTATTGTTTATTTAACACTTAATTTTTAAGTGAAATATTTCCAGGGCAAAAAGATTTTTAAAAGGGAAAGCACACCAAACCACAAACCTAAACCTCTCGTTCTGCAGATCAGGAGACCAGTGGCGTGTTCTCTCAGGCCGTGTGCCCGCCCGCCCTGCCTCTTGCATTACATCCAGTGGCTGTACAGAAATCACTGGAAGTCTCCTGAGGTCACTTTATGAGACTCTTGTGCCTTGGAAATCTCATTGGATCCAGTGTTTCCCCACTAGTCTCCAGTCAGGTCTGCCCTTTCTAGGACCCTCCCTGAATCATTTCCCTTGTGTATGACCTTCTTTGGGTGGTCTTATTTAGGATATTCCATTCTCTCTTTCCTTTAAAGGCCTGTTGCATTTTGAGTGAACCATTTCACATTGCCTTATTTTCACACAAAACCAAGCAAAAATAAGAAATCTAAAGCACATTGGAATTGCTTATTACCTAAAAGCTGGTTTAAGATATTGTAAGAAGTGAAGTGAAATGTTCTGTACCATACTTACATACATTGATGTGGAAAATATTTTTTGAGATCTGGCATAAAATTTATCAAGCAAACAGATATGATAAGGGGAACTTTCAGTTTTGTTAGGTTTAATGACATTGTATTCTAAACATGCTTTACCTTTAAATTTTACTTCATTTACTGTGCTGAGCACTCGTGATAGATCTTTTACTAAGATTAATTTTATTTGCCTTCATTTTATTTTTTTATAACCTCTTTTTCCTCTCCTGTCTACCTGATGATTTTTGAATTGTTTGTCTGTATATAGCTATAGACATAGATGCTACTGGCTTAGATGCAGAAGAAAATGATATTCCAGCAAACCACCGCTCCCCTAAACCCAGTGCAAACAGTGTAACGTCACCCCACTCCAAAGAGAAAAGAATGCCCTTCTTTAAGAAGGTAACATTAACTTCCAAGCTCCCATCTGTCCACCTGCTCAACTGCACTGCGTCACACTTCTAGTCCTGCTGACTGTCTGCGTCCTTGACAAGCCAATAACATGCATGCTCTGTTATTCTTTGTTTCTTTTCCATGCTGCTGTAGCTAAGCAGAAGCAGAAATCGGTAAGTCTACATTGACATAAGCTGTGTTTATCCTGCCACTGGCATCATTAGCATTCAATTGCACAGTTTTCTGAAATATAGTCATTTCTGCCCTAAGAAAAGAGCCTACCAAACAGCTGATTGAGTCCGTGCATTGCAAACCAACTAAATTCAGGGAGTGACCTGTGAGGGCACCATTACAGTACTTATCCTTTTTGATGGAATAATATCTACCACCAAGGGAACTTGTTTAAACCTTCAAGGGTTTCAAACACTGACAACGCCATATAATGCACCTCTATTGTGCATGCTTATTCTGTCTGTCTTTGTCTTTCTTTTTTCTGGAAAGTTAACTTATAATCAAGCATATTAAAACCATTATTAGATTCTGATTTATGATATCCAGATACATAGCTTGTACTAAAAAAAATATTCAAGTCTTAATTTAGTCAGTATTTAAACTTCTAATCCATTAGGTGCAAAATCTGCAGATGAACAAGACCAGTGGAAAACTGCAGGCTTGTTTTGGCGGTTTACTGTGAGTTTTTCCTATTGTCATATACAAATACTCTCCGATGTTCTTGCCTCCTCCATCAGTCAGATTTCAGCATCTCACCTGTTGGACAATGGGGCAGTGGCCGTGTGTACAGCCTTTGCCATGGGCCAACCAAGATGCCACACAGTGATGCTCCGCATCCCCTGACTGAAAACTAGGTAGTCCTGAGCTCTCTTTACCCCAAAGTCTAATTCCTTTCAGCACATTTTGTAGTTTCAAAGCATTATTTTTTAAGGAGGTGTCCCCACCCATGTCCATTCCTTCCCTTCTTTCACACACCACTTTCCACAGCCTACTACGGTATTTTTATAGTCAGACCTCCTCATGTCACCAAGTCTTACACAACCATGGGTATATCATGACACACAGGTGCTGAGTAAAGCCTACTCTGCTCTGAACTCTCCATGCCCTAACCTCTCCTCCTCCTACAAATACTTTGCTCTGTGGAGGAATTCTGAAGGCACCATTGAGGTGTCAGATACAAAACTGTGAAGTTGCTGTTTTGTTTTGTTTTTTTAAATAAAGTATGGTTACTTTAATAATGGAAGACCTCAGCACCCCAGGCAGAAACTAAAATAGCCAGATTATTTGTGTGAGCACAGAAGCTCTAGCCCATCTCTCTGGTCCTGTCTTCTTGTCACAGAAAGCTTCCAACTGGGTGACTGGCGGTGCAGAAGCCCAGAAAGTCGACATCGCTGACTAGGCTGCTCTGGGCTTTGCTGAGCGGTATCTTGGCCTAAAACCCTGTTAGTCAAGACACGATTTTTTTGAAGTTTTCTTACTCCTAAATTCCAAAACTTTTCCAAAATGTTTATCACAATTTTTCCACTGAAGAATTTGAACAACATCAGTTGAGCAGAAAAGGATAGATGAAAATGATGGTGTCATTATCAATAGGGCACAAAGTACCAATATTCCATCAAATAAGGTAATTTCTGTAGCTACCCTATTGATTAAGCTGACTGATCACCAGCAGTCACAGATCGAAGGAACCAAAGTCCTGTCAAATACTGGGCCACTTAATACTTAAGGACCTAAAATAAAATTTCTTGGTAGCCATTACTAAAGTGCATGCAATTTATATTCCTAATTACAATGGTGGAAAAGGGATTCTTATACATCATCGTTATAAAGACTTGTCTTCTCAACATTTTCAATATAATCCCAGGTGGTATAACTAATAATTTAATAAATATGCTTATGATGCCTCCGGCACTGGTATTCATTCTTCTTATGTTATTGATTGTGTGGTCAACTTCAGTGGAGAGTTCAAAAACAGAACAAACAGAAAACGGGAGATGCAGTGTGACATCGTTCTCCATGTTTTAGGGTGCTTTTAGAGTGGTGCTTATGTAGCATTTGTGCTGTCACTGTATTATGTTTGTCTTGGTTGGTTTTTTTTCTGTTTAAAAATGTATTTTACCTTTATTGTGACTTTTAAATGAATTTTGAATTCTAGGTAAAATTTTAAGCAGTAAAACTTGACAGCACAGTCACAGCGATATTTTCTCCCCTCTGATCGAGTTTGTCTGGGACTGTCACTGAAATCTCAGATGGAAGCTTCAGAATCTGAAATGGCGTGTCATTCCCCGCTTAAGCGAGTGGAATTTAATTGAATTCAGAGATTGGAATGAGCAATTTTAAGCAACACTAAAGTGTTCTGGAGCCACAACAGGCTGATGCAAAACTTATGTTCATATTTGTACATTTATCAAATTCTTAAAATAGTTTAAAGAATATTTTTCTGTTGGTCTATGTTATGAAAAGAAATTCTTGAAGTATTTAAGAATTAAGAATTTAAGTATTAGATGCTCCTTAATACAGAAAAAATCATATAACAATGATTTGTTTACCTCAGTTCTAAGGCCACATCTCTCCTGCATTAGAAAATATCATTTTGGGGATCAACATACCATTTTTTGCTATCCAAATAGCCAATTTTAACATAATCAAACAAATTAGTGGTTACCTAATGTTTAGGAAAAAAATTATTTTGATTATTTTATTTGAAGCAGTTAAGCTCAAAAGTTTGGAAAGTTTTAGAAACTGCTACCAAATTTAGCTCCTCCCCCTTCTCTTCCAAAAGAAAGAAAAATTACGGGGGGAAGGCACGAGTTTGTCATTCAGCAGAAACACCGCCACACACCCTTCCGAAGCTTTGTACAGGTGCACGTTGATAACTAACTTTTAAGGCCACTGAAACAGGCTTGATATGCACACATTTTCCACCTTTCCTCCAAGATATTAAACCTTGCTTTTTAAGTTTCGAGTAATGGAAACTTAAAAAATGAATCACTAAGTTGTAGATAGTAATCCTGATTACTGGTTACTGAAAGAAGCATGCCTGCTATTATAAACTATTTCAGAAAAGTAGGACTTTTCGAGTATTTGGTAATGAGAGTTACAGTGCTTTGAAACTAGGTTTTATCCAGGTAAGACTGACATCCAAGACACAAAGGTAGTGAGGCATTTCTTTTCTTTGTACTTAACCATGTTAGGTCTGAAACTGTGACTCTTCATAAAATTCCAATGCATCTGAAGCAGTCTTAACTCCAGTCAAGCCTAAAGCACCTATTCTGCATGAGGCATGTTTCTGTCTGTTCTACCAACTAGTTTTCATCCAAAAGCAGCACCTTCTGCTTTAGGAACTAATCTGTTAGTAGCATTTCTTAAGGAGAGAGAGAAAAAAAATGTAGACCGTTTAATAACACAAAAACTTTAGGAAAATCAACCCACCAATCTTTGATTGGGTTTATTTAGAAAAGAGGCAAGTTAAAAAAAAAAAGGTCTGGAAAGCCAGTGCCTCATATTACAGAGTTCAGAAAGAACAGTTTTTACACAAAATACTTAAGTCCCCACATCCTGTTAACTATCTGAAGTCATCTCCTCTCTCCCCAGACAGAGCACACGCCCCCCTATGACGTGGTACCTTCCATGCGACCCGTGGTCTTGGTGGGCCCTTCTCTGAAAGGGTACGAGGTAAGTAGCTGCCCTCTGGAGCACACTTGGGCTTTGCATGCTGAACTGCTTTGTGACTCAACCTTCCTCTCCTGACTCTTGAATTTAGACTTGAGCTCCTACCAGCAAAGCATGTTGTTTTTCAAGCTGTGGTATATATTGTTTTCTGTTTTGTTCTATTTTAATTTCTTGGCTGTTGCTCTGGAGATTTCTGCTAGCTGCAGTCTACTCAGTCCAGGGAATAGTATCAGGTGGACAGTGAGCAAGACCACTTGTGATGTAATGTATTATCATTAAAGCATCAGAATAAATTCAGGGAACTTTGACATTTTAATTGTCACCTTATTGGAACTCAAAACAGAAAAATGGGGTGATCTCAATGCTGCTTTTCCAAATGGGAAGCTCAAGTTTTCAGGCACTCTTAAGAGGAGGAAAATTGTTTTATCATAATAGTAATATTTTTATTGTATCTTAATTTATTGCTTGCTCAATTGCAGGTCACAGATATGATGCAAAAAGCTTTGTTTGATTTTTTAAAACACAGATTTGAAGGGCGGTGAGTATATCAAAATCCTGGGTATTATGGGTTTTGTCTTGAAGATGACAAAACCTGGGTGGGACAGGCATGTGAGCCCAAGAGAAAACTGAAGTCTATAGGGTGACAGGAAATCCGTTCCATCCAGTTCAATCTGATCCCACAAATATTTGTCACACTTGCTGTGCACATCCTCAAACCTGGATAATCCATCTCACTGTTCCTGCACCTGCGTTCATAACACAAACTTGGACAAGTGCCTGCTGAATAGTCTCACCCCAAATTCATGGTCAACTGGCCCTCATTGTTGCCCAGAAGTCATACTAAATATCCCTCTTCCATTTACTTTTCTACTCTTCGAACAGACTTTCACACGAACTCCTCTCTCCCCAGACCTCTAACATCTGTTGCTCATCTTGCTCTTCCCCATGAACTTGCTTCCTGTTTTCATCGAGAAAACAGACACAAAAGAGAACTTTCGAGAGTTCCCACCACCACACCTACACCCACTCACATGTCTGCCTGCTCTGCTTTTTTCCTATTACTCTTAGCAATGGCCAGTGCACCCACTAGGGGGCTAGGCCCCATTTGCCACCCCCATTGGACACAGCCACACAAGCCTTTCCTCTCATCGCTGTTTCTCATGCTAATGGAAACCCGTAAGCATGAAAGACAAAGTCATTTCTTCCTTCAGTAAAAAAGTTTACCTCATTTCCCCTCCAGCTGCCCCATTTTTCTCCTGTTCCTTCTAGCAAAACTCCTTGAACAAGTTGTGTATGCAAGCTGTCTTCTAATAGCTCCAGTTACGTGTCCACCAGTCACCCCTAACAAGTCATGTCAGATCACCAGTTGTGTCAGTCAGTGATCCTCGTACTGCCACATCCAGGGTGAATCTGCAGTCCTCCTCTCAACTGGCGTGGTGGACCACACCATCCTCTTTTCGACACTTCATTTGGTTTCTGGGACCACACTTCCCTGGTTTTTCTTCTATTGCGCTAGCTACTTCTTTGTCTCCTTTGCTGATTCTTCCTCATCAACTAGACATCTTAGAAGGGCTAAGTCCCTTGGTCTACTTGCTCTTCTGTGTACACTCCTTCATTGATGTTGGAGTTTTAAATAGCATTCCCTCATTGGCCTCTTCTCTTCATTCCAGACCTGTATATCCAACTGTCTATTTCAGTATCACTACTAAGCTAATGGATTTCTCAATCTTAACCTTCCAACTTACCGCCAAACCTGTTCCTCTCATTGTCTTCCATTTCTCTATTAAGAGTTTCTTCATCTCTCAGTCAGTCCCAAGACCCTTTAGCTCCAGGTCATTGGATCATCCTTGACTGTTCTTTTTCTCTCCCTTGTCACACCCAAATGCTGTTGTTATCCATGTCTTCAAAATATATCAAGAATCTACCCACTTTTTACATATCCTCTGCTTTTTGTCTGAGACACTGTCACCTCCTCCCTGGATTGTTGCAATAGATAGCTTCCTAACTGGTGTCCTCACTTCATCCCTGTTCCCTTAAAGTCTGCTCTCAATGCAGCAGTCTCAACGACCTGCTCAGCTGTGAGCTGGATCTTCTCACCCCTTCGTTCTGATCTATCCAATGTCTTCTCTTTTCACTCAGCATTAAAACCAGAGTTCTTAGTGGCCTAAAAAAGTCCTGCCCCCACAGTCTGACCATCCACATACCCACCCACCTCTTTCACTTTACTACTCTCCCCCTTGCTCCTTCTGGTCCTGCCATACTTCCTTCCTTCTTATTCCATAGTATCCCAGACAGCCAGATATATACCGACCTCGACACCTTTGCATTTACAGTTCCCTGTACTAGGAATACTTTTCTCTCCGATACTCTTCTTACTATATGTACACACACACACACACATGTACATACGTTCTCACCCATCCCTGACTTTTTTCCCATAATTCTTTTATGCATTTTATGTATTAATTTTGTTTGTCATCATTCTCCCACACTTAGAATGCAAACTCCACATAGGCAGGATGTTTTCAAATCTGTTTTGTGTGAACTGTTGTGTCTAGAGCTGTGCTCACTGTGAACAACAAGTGGATGGATGTTGAATGAGTGGCTCTTGTGCCCTCATAGGGAAATGCAGAAATAGTGAAGCTGCTCACTGTCGTTGCCCATGAGGAGCTCATGTGTAAACCATACATTGAAACCCCAACCAGTAAAATATAAGGTAAACAAAGGGCAGCTCGGCGGACATGTGTCCAAGGTATAGGTAGCACAAACAGGAAGGATTAACACCGATTTAGGGACGTCAGCCTCCAGGAAGGATTTTTTAATGGAACCTATTTAAGTGAATTAGAAGAGAAGGGACACGTCCACCAGAGGGTGTAAAGTGTATGACAACATCAAGGTGAGACACAGCATCACACGTGTGGCAAATGCCTAGAGGTCTTCACATCAAGTCTGGGCAGAGAGTGACTGGTAACAAAGCCGGGGCCAAGCCTAGTGCTTCCCATTAATCAACTTAGACTCCTTTTCCTTTCCTCCCCTCAACTTGTTTCTATAAATATTTATTGAGCACATTCTATGTGCCCAGGCATTAAAAGGAGCAAAAGCAGACAAGGATCTTGGCTTCATGGTGCTTACTTACAGCCTATTGGAAGGCAGCCTTGAGTCAAATAATCAGTGAGCACCATGTAAACGTTAAGCCAACTTCTGAAGCATCAAAGATATGATGGGAGTCTAAAAGGGAAACTTGAAAATTTAAACTAAGAGTAGATTATAGGGGTTGTGTGAACATACAGGGCTGGTGAATATTTTTGTATTTTTAACAAGATAAATGAGCTGCCTGCCTTCTCCACATTCCTTTTCTTCCCCTGTCCTAACAATACAAATGTAATAGATGATATCTGTAGGTTTCAGTGTTCTTTTAGGTTTCTTAATGTAGCACTTTCTCCCTTGAGCACACCTGCTTCTACAGCTGTTTCTTACTTACACTAACTTTTGGTAGGAGAGACAAGGACAAAGACAGAAACTTTTATAGGAATACAAATATCATTAGTAATCAAGCAAAAGACTGAAAGTGTCAGAAAAGGAACAGAATTCAAAGTATAAAAGGACTTTATAATCAAAGGCTACCTAACCAAATGCTCCTAATTAGATATTTTTGTTTTCCATTCCTTTAAGAAATACATTTTATTTTGTGCCAGGAAACACAGCTTGGTCCTTGGACCTGTGGCTTGGTCCACGGCTTTCAGGTTCTGGCCAAGTAGAAAAGGCACGCCTGTGACTGGGCCTGTTTAGCTTTCACTTCTTTATTCTTGGCTCTGTCATTTGTCATAATTCGGAATTGTCAACATGAGCGTGCACACCCAGAAAATTCTGCTAGACTGGGCACTCTGCTCTCCGTGACTGAGTTTAACCCAGTGCCCCTTCCTAAATGCCACAGACGGGGGAATGAGACAGCATGTCCTGACCTGTCACTTCCCTTCAGACCTGAGGATGTTTTGAATTTGGAAGACAGATTCCAGCTATAAGGTGTATCTTGGGCCTGTGTTCTAAGGCATCGGCCATCCAGATTGATTACATTTAAGAAACAAACAAAATACACCTTGTATAAATCTTTTGTTTCTAGCCAGGAGTAATTCCCATATGGCCTTATTAATGGACCAGCTCTGGCTTATCCTAACTCATAGAGCTGGGGTTCAACTTTCTAGGCCTGTGATCACCAAAGATCCTCAGAGGAAGTAATAGTGTCCATAAGGCAGAATTTCAAAAAGCCATGCAAAAACTTAACTTTTTGTTTTAAATCCATGGCAAGACATTCAGAGTAACTGTGTCATTAAATGCCTTTGTTCTGGCCAGCCAAGATAGCAGTGGAAGGTGGAAAGTCATTGAAAGTATTGGGTATGTCTAACTCTAAACAGACATATAACTCTAAAAGGACAAATTACTCCTTAATTATCTACTAAATAAACAAAATTTATTTTTTAAATTAAAGCCCAAGAGAGGAAAATATGAAAGGAAATATTGGTGATGAAAAGATTCTAGACAGGAATTCTTTTCTGTCCTTAAACCTAGTTAAACTCATTTGCCAAAGCCCTGCAGAGTTGTCAGATGCTCATTTAAATAGCATTTCAGTTGTCAGGTCAAAGAAGAGACAATAAATCATTATCCTTCCGTTGTGTGCAACAGAGTAGCCCATTCAAATAGGATGGACCCTAACCACCCATGTTATGTAGACAAAGCAGTTTTCCAACTTACCTGGTAGCACAATGACAGGTGAAACCGCAAGGAGATCAGGGACAAGAAGGAAAGTGATGAATTCAACCATCCTCCAGTGTTTTTAAAATGTCAGCTCTTAGCCCGAAGTGTCCAGAATTCATACTGGATTGCCATAGGGATATGTATATGTTGAATCTTGTGCAAAGGGATCTTACTGAAAAAAGTCGGTAATCCTGGGAAATATTACATCACTTTATTTTGTGGAAAATTTACTTAGGTGTGAGACGACTTTAAACTGGTGATTTTCTGCCTTGGCTGCGTATTAGAATCACCTATAGTATTTTAAAAAACACAATAAAAACCAAGGGCTTTTATTCCACTGGTGACAAATTGGAGCCACATCTCTACAGTAGGACCTAATGTAATTTTAAACGCTTACTCGGCAATTTTGATGTACCAGGAGTGTTGAGAACCACGCCTCTAAACTGAATTGTCCCCACAATTCTGCCCTCAGGATTTTCAAGGCCTTTTTTCTTGGTGGAAACTCAAGTAATGACAATTCCCAAAGCATATTTAAGGAGTTGAAATAGGATAGTGGCCAGTCTTCACACAGCGTACAAACCTCACCACGTAAGCAGGTCAGTGGAAGCCCAGCTGGACAACACCATGTATGGAAAGGAAAAAGCATGTGGGAAAAAGAAAGATGTATTGTTACAGAAAAACCTGTCCTGCTGCTGAATGGGCTCAGACTTGAGATGCTCCTGGGTGGCTTTTGTCTTGTCTTGTCACCCCTGTGATCTCAGGATGGCACCCATTATAGGGCAGCCTGCCTCCCAATGAGTGTCCAGGGATCTCTAGAGGCACAGGACCCAGATTCTGGTCATCAGCAGTGCATGGGCCCCACTCAGCTGTGCTGGTATAATGCCTGGCACTTCAGGTACTCACTCTTCCCTCTGCCTGGAACACCCTGCCCATCTATCCGCGTGGCTCAGTGGTTGCCAGGGCTGGGGTATGGGGAGGACTGACCACGGAGAGGTAGCATAGGTGAAATTTAGGGGGTAATAAAATTATTCTGTATCATGAATGTGATGGTGGATATAGAATTCTATGAATTGGTGCCAGCTCATAAAGGATAGATTTTTATAGTATATAGATAAACTGACTTGCAAAATCCAGTAATCCCTTTCCACACTGTACTGAATGTACTGTTATCCAAGTGGCAACCAATTTTAACTGTATTGGCTGTATCTTTTGGTATTTACTCCTTACCTCTAAATAACGCACTTAATTTGCTGCTTGAGGTTACAGTGCTGGACACTGTCCGCAGACTTCTACCATAGTGCGTCGCTCTCTCACACCCAGTCCTCCCCTCTCACACCCCTGAATACACATCTCATCCTCTGTTCTCCCAGCAGTTAAGTCATAACTTTTGGCTGGCTCCATTTTTAGTATGTATTATAGCCATGTAAATAATATGTAAGTGGGCCACAACAAATACATATAATTGCTTTTTCACGTGCATTTTCTTTGTGGTTACTATGAGGTAAATAATTTTACTTTTTACACTTGATTAATTTTCTGTATATTTGGCACCAATTGGGCCCCGAATTCCTCCCCAGTTGTCTAAATCTCCTCACAATGGATTCAAATGCACCAGACAGTCTCTCAGCTTTGTACTTTTGAGTCTCCGTGAGTGTCCTGGCCTGCTGCTCCCATCTGGATGATTTCTCTCTGTGTTGGGTATCCAGTTTCCATTCCGGGAGGTCCCTTGCCATTGTCCTTGGGATTGCTGTCACCTTCCCTTTGGGCTTAGAGCCCCTTTTTCTTAGATCCCTTGATCTCTTTCGGGGCTTACGACAACATCCTCTATGTAGTTTCTCTGGAGAGAGTACATAAAAATTTTCTTTGAGACCTTAATGTCTAAAAATGTCTTTTGCCTGACTGGTGTGGCTCAGTGGATTGAGCACCAGCCTGTGAACTGAGAGTTTCCCAGTTGTTTCCCAGTCAGGGCGCGTGCCTGGGTTGCGGGCCAGGTCCCCAGCTAGGGGTGAGTGAGAGGCAGCCACACACTGATGTTTCTCTCCCTCTCTTTCTCCTTCCCCTCTCTCTAAAAAATGATAAATAAAATCTTTAAAAATATCTTAAATCAACCCTCCCATTTAATTGATAGTTAAAATGGTAATGGAATTCTGATTAGAATGATTACCCCTCAGAATTTTTAAGGCTTTTTGCTCCGGGGGTGGGGGGCCCGCCTTTCCCCCTGGAAACTTTGCAGTTCTGCTTCATCCCCAGTGTCACGACATTGATGTGAATGTGTTTGTCAAGCTTTGGGCTGGATCCTTTCCATTTGGAAAAATCAGCCTCTTAACTCCGGAATTATTTTTCAGTTTTCTGTCCTCTATTTTTGGACCTCTTCTAATTTGGAAGTTGAACCTTCTAGATAATTCTCTAAATTTCATACCTTTCTTCTCCTATTTTCCATCTCTTTGTCAGCCTCATTGGAAACTGTCAAGGTCATTATTTTTGGCTCGTTTCTCTTTGGAGGTCAGATTCCCCAGGGAAAAACCTTCCATTTAAAATCCATTCTCTTCCAAATAATATGTACTCTCTGCTCTGCCTAGGGTCCCCTGGTCCCAGACACTGTTTTGTCGCCTGTAGAGACCAAACCAGCAGTCGCAGGGCACGTAGGGAAGATGTTCACCTGGGGGCTTGGTGTAGCAGAGGGGAGGTGGAGGGCCCTAACCCTCAAACACCTGGAACCAAACCTCCTGTTTCCAATTCTTCCTGCACCTTCTTCTGCACAGGTGCTGTGGCCCTTCCAGTTTGCTCCCTACCTTTTCCTACTGCTGCCTGTATGTATATTCAGCTGTCTCCAGGCTACGTCATTTGCACTTTCCAGCTTCCAAAGTTTAATGTTCTCACTTCTATCCTATCTAAAGTGACCCCCTAACTAATTATTGTCTGTCACAACACCCTCTGTGTCCTCTTCACAACAGTCATCTTATTCTGTAATTACTTCATTTATTTTCTTATTACCCGTCTCTGCCACTAGATTTTCAGCTCTCTGAGGAAAGACCGTATTTGCCTTGTTCTGCTCTCATGCCTTTCACAGCATTATACTTATGCGAGGGTCTGTAACACAGGACTGAGAATATGCACTCAAGCCTGGGTTCAAATCCCAGCTTCGTCATTTTTAGTTAACATGTAAACTTGAATAAAGAATCTACCTATGGCTCATTTTCTTCATCAGCAAAAGTGGTATGATAATACACCTCTCTGTTAGAGTTTTGGGATGATTTAATGAGATAATCCAGGTGATGAGGTAATGCTTAGTATATGCCTGGCCCTTGGTAAGTTAACCAATAAATGCTAAGGTTGTGTAAGATTAAAAAATAAATAGAACAGCCAAGTGCCTTAACATTTTTTGTTTTCAAAATATGGTCACTATATATGTTTCATATATAGATGAGTTTGAGGCATGTATTTCTGTCCCTTTTTCTTCAGTTAATAACCTCAGGGTCTTCTGTTACTTTTTCCCAACAGGATATCCATCACAAGGGTCACTGCAGACATCTCGCTGGCCAAACGCTCAGTGTTAAATAACCCCAGTAAGCACGCAATAATAGAAAGATCCAACACAAGGTCAAGCTTAGGTAAGTGTGTGCACTCCTGATGAACTTAAGCGATTCAAACACTTCTCCCTGAAGCTGCCAATGAGAAGATCTAACTAGATGGTAATTCCTTGTGTCACAGAGAGGAGAAGAAACACACACGTGTTACCAGCAGCTAGTGCTACAGTCTTGGTGATTTTGTGGCATGGAAGAATTTGTTACGATAGTCTAGAGTTAAAAATTCCACAGGCTGTCAGCATTGTTTTGGTTGTGGTTTGCTGTCACTAAAGTGAGCTTCAGTGTCAACCGACTCAAAAAACCCCTGGCTTTGCATCCTTGTTACCATGAGCTAGTTCATTACCTCTTTAAGCCTAGTTTCCTCATCTAAACAAAAGAAATAACATTAACCTCCTCATAGGATTACTGTAAGGATTAGACATAGTATGTCCTCTATACATGATAGCTGTTACCCCAGACCCCTTAATAGCTGAATTATAGCAATGGCTCTATCATTCACAATAGTGTCGTGTGTAGTAAATTCTTGAGCTTGATAAAGGATGGAGTCAATCCCTGGTGGTTTTTCATTGACATATCAGTATTTTCATTTTGTTTATTAAAACTGTGTAAAAATTTTAGTTATTGTGCTTAGAGTTATGTTTGTGTACTGCTTATTAGTGTACTAATGTGACCTAATGAGACCCTCGGGCAGCTGTCTCATCCCTCTGGCATGTGCGTGGAGTTGGAGGCTAATCCCTGTTGCGCATGGAACTCATTGGGTTGATAGGTTTCTGTTTTTATCAAGTAGTTTCTCAGGCTTGTGTGAGATCTTCGCTTTTAATTTTTTCTATTTGTATGTTACGTACATAACTCCTTCAAAAGACTGGCTTTTAACATAGACGTTTTTAGTTTACTTTGAAGAATATTATTTAAACAATGGAGAAACTATTTAAAAATAAACTTTATCTGGTCATCATGAATATAATAATTTTTAGAACTCAATTTTGTTCACCTAACACCCACACCCCCCCCCCCACTGATTACACTTGGACTTATCAGTTGAATAAATGACGTAACAGATTCGTTTAGCTTGCAAGGCTCTTTGTAACCCCTAACTGTGTATTATTTTTAAATGACTCATGCCCTCCACATACTTTACTGAGCATACATTAGACACTGAAAGTTATCCAAGCCTGGGAATAAAAACATGAACTGATGAAGCCCCTTCCCTCAGGGATCTTGGTGTAGCAGTAAGACAAGTAAGTTAACAGCCCGCTGAAATAGAGGGTGATACGTGGTCTTGCACTGAACTGGTTGCCAAGATGGCAAATGCTACAGGAGATTAGAGCCAGGATTTGGCATTATGTTGAATGTGGAACATGAAGGAGAAAACTCCAGGAAGATTTCCAACTTTTTGCCTTGAGAACCTGGCTGATGGTGTTATTCTGAGGATGAGGGGTTTGGTGTGAGGAGCTTGTTTGAGGGAGTGACTGGGGAGAGGGGGATAAGGAAGGTGATGGCTACCTTTGTAAACATGTTGAATTTGCAGTGTTATGAAGCGTCCAGATACCCAGCAGACAATGGTGTATACAGATCTGGAATTCAGTAGAGAGGACGAGCTTAAGATGCATTTGATCCTCAATACGCATGGTAGTTATGTTCTGTCAAGTCCCGCTGACACTGAGTTAGTGAATACTGAGCCATCGCTTCTGTGAAAAATGTAGCAGTAGGTTCCTGCAAGCCTCCGGTCACACCATTCTCATTAACCGATCAATATAGTCTATAGTCTATTTTCTGCACATTTCTGTTTAAAGATACCTTATTTGATACTTACTGTTGACTCATTAATATTGAACTACAATTCATGCCTGAACAAAGCTTAGCTAACATGCAGTTTTCTCCATAAGGCACATCACCGCCTTCCTACACTTAGTACCACTGGCCTTTGGCACTGGGCTTGGTGTGTGTGGGGGGGAGCCTTTAAACAGTGAAATCACACACAAACACAAAAATGAGAAAAACACAGTACTAAACAGACCACAAAAAGAACACCTGTTTACAGTCTGAGAGCTAGAACAAGCAGGCACAGAGTGTCAACTTGTTTGATCTCAGCTGACAATGTGCACCTTGGGGAACTCCAATTTTTTGCCACTGTGCGCATGTCCCTGAATGAGTATTGATTTGGGGCTTTACAAATCAATTTTAGCAAGCAGAAAAATGTGCAAGTACTGAATCTGCAAACAAGGATGGACTGTACTTTTGGAAACCCCTAGTTGACACATGTAGCCAGAAAAGGGAGTGAAATAAGAGCAAGACAAGCCCAGACCCCCAAAGAGAAACAGCGTTCTTGGGGTTGGCAGGGAAAGAGGCAGCAGTGGCTGCCTGAGCAGTGCCAGGGCAAGTTCAGAAGACAAGAGTTACACTGAGGAGAGAGGTGGGCACCTTAGTGTCCACCTGCTACAAAGTAGTCAAAGATAAAGATTGGCAAAATCTGTTGACATTCCTGACAGGGCACACCTGTTCCTGACTTTCTGCTCTACTCAGATGATGCAGGGAGAGTCAGAGGAAGAGTCCCTAGACCCATGGAAGGTGGCCATGGGGTAGAGCCCAGGGAATGGATCAGTGATCCGCACGGGTCACACGGGTCATCTGGACTCCTAGGAAACTCAGCATACACCTTTTGTTTGTAGAGAAGGAGAATGTATGTGTTATATATTAACTAATTATATGTATGTATGAGGATTTAGTTTTCCTTATGGTAGTGCTAAAGCATAGGTAATTCAAATATACACAGGGTCCAGCAGAAATAAGGCCTGCTTGAGTGTGGCTGGTAGGGTACGTGAATGTCTTGCATGAGATGGACAGCAATTTGAACATTTCACCTAAAATATCATATGGTGTGTTGATAGTGATCAAATTGAGACATTGAGAGCAATCAACATTATGCCATCTGGGAAGTAGCTGACATATTCAAAATATCCAAATCAATAAAGTTATTGGTAAATGAAAAATGTCTTTTATTTTATGGAAAAAATACGGTCTTTTTGGTCAACGCAATATTTTGCCCACCTGTTTTGCAAAAGGGCTCCCTTTTCTCCACATTCTTGCCAACACTTGACTTTTTGATAATAGTCATTCTGACAGGTGTGAGGTGATAACAACTCCTTATGGTTTTTGATTTGCATTTCCCTGACGATTAGTGATGTAAAGCATTTCATGTACCTGTTGCCCACCTGTATGTATTCTCTGAAAAAAATGTCTACACGGGCCCTCTGCCCATTTTTTAATCAGGTTGATTTTTGCAATTAAGTAGTATGACTTTTAAATTTTGGATATTAACCCCTTATCAGATATATGACTTGCAAATATTTTTCCCTTTCAGATTGTGCTGCACTTTGAAAATTGTTTAGTTGCTTTTGCTTTAGGCATCAAATAAAAGCTGCCAAGACCAACTGTCAAGGAGCTTACCCCGTATGTTTTCTTCTAGGAGTTTCGTGCTTTCGGGTCTTACATTCAAGTCTTTAGTCCATTTTGAGTTGACTTTCATGTATGGTATGAGTGTGGTTCAGTTTCATTCTCATGCATTTAGCTGTCCAGTGTTCCCAACACCATTTATTGAAGATAGTCCTTTCCCCATTGTATATGCTTGTCTCCTTAGTCATAAACTAGTTGACCATATAGGTGTGGGTTTATTCCTGTGCTGTTCTACTCCATTGATCCGTGTCTTTTTATGCTAGTATCATACTATTTTGATTATTATAGCTATATAATGTAGTTTGAAATCAGGAAGCATAATGACTCTAGCTATGTCCTTCCTTAAGATTGCTTTAGCTATTCAGGGTCTTTTGTGGTTCTATACACATTTTAGGATTATTTATTCTATTTCTTTGAAAAATGCCATTGGTATTTTGAGAAGGACTGCATTGAATCTATAGATTGGTTTGGGTAGTATGCACATTTTAAAAATACTAAGTCTTCCTATCCATAAGCACAGACTATCTTTCCATTTGTGTTTTGGTTCCTTTTATCATTGTCATAGTTTGCAGTCTAAGGTCTTTTATCTCCTTGGTTATATTCATTCCTAGGTATTTCATGTTTTTTGATGCAACTGTAAGTGGGAATGTTTGCCTAATTTCTTTTTCTGGAATTTCAGTATTAGTGTATAAAAATGCAACCAATTTTTTATTAACTTTATGTCCTTTAACTTGACTGAATTTGCTTCAGTGTTAGCAGTTTTTGGTGAAGTCTTCAGGGTTTTCTATATGTGGTGTCATATCATCTGCAAGGAGTGACAGTGTTACTTCTTCCTTCCCAATCGTGTGCCGAAGAGCTCTGGCTAGGACTGTCGGCACTGTGTTGAATCAAAGTGGCAAGGGTGGGCATCTTTGTCTCATTTCCAGTCTTACAGAAAATGTTTTCAACTCTTTGCCTTTGAGTATGATGTTAACTGTAGGGTGATCAAATTTCTTAATGCTTACAATAAATATTAATTTAGATTATAACTTGATTGTTGAGGATCAGTGGCCATGAAAACATTTATAGGGCACAAAGAATGAAGGTTATTTTTGAAATAAAAATTAAAGAACAGAGAATAATTACATTGTTTTAAGAACATTATGAAACAAAGTATCAGAATACCATTTATATTTTTTAAACTGCTGTTTAATTTATATATATATAAATTATATATATATATATTCATATATATATATGAATATAAAGAGTATAAAGAACCTCAGATGCCCCTCACCCCGTTTCAAGCCTCATGTATTCATGGCCAAAATGTTGTTTTGTTTCCAGTCCTCCCCCCTTCCTCTCCAACTGTTTGTGGATTATTTTGAAGCAAATCACAAACATCATATGGTTTTACCTGTAAATATTCATTATGTATTTCTAAACATTAGGGGCTCTTTTTATTTAAACCATAATGCCACTATGGTACCTTAATGCATCCCTAATATCATCAGATTTCCACTCAGCCACATATTTTTTCCCAATTATCATAATTTACATACTCTTTATATATGTAAATATTTTATTCATTTTCATATTATAAATATATAAATTACTATTCTTAACTCAGGATCCAAATAAAGTCTATACCTTATGACTGGTTTCCTGTAATTTTTTACTTGAAGAAACTGGGTGACTTGTTCCATAGAGGTCCAGTCTGAAATTTCCCAACTGCATTACACTGGTATCATTTATATGATTGTCCATTTTCTGCATTTCTTATAAACTGGTAGATCCAAGAGCTTAATTTTGACTTTTTTCTTTTAGAAGACTGTATTATCCATAGTCTGTGACCAAATATTATAAAGTTGGTATCTCAAGTGGTGTGGGCCCTAACTTGAAAGACATCCAGGTAAATGAAAGTGCTCCAGTACAACGCATTGTGGCGCAGATGATTAGTGACTTGCCTATCTTCAAATACTACTTAAAATTATCTCCAGGAATCTTCTGCATGGATCCAGATGCACAAGGGGCATTTAAGGTCTTCTGTAGGTCCAGAGTCTCATGGGATTGGCCCTCATGATAGCAGCAGGCACTACAAGTCACATATTATGCCTTATAGACCTGCACTACCTAGTATAGGGGCTTCTCTGGCTATCTAAGTTTTAATTATTTAAATTTCATTTTGAAAATGTAGTTGCTACATTTCACGTGCTCAGTGGCCATATGTGGTTAGCAGCTATCATACCGACCAGCATATTTCCATCATCACAGAAAATTCTATTGGACAGGCCTGTTTTAGACTCTAGAGAGGTCATGCAGAAGTAGATGAACCAAATGAAATTTTCTTGGTGTTCAAGTAGATTTTTAGATGTTTGCTAATAAGTATTCTGTGAGTTGTATAGCTCAGATTTGTGTAGTACTGTCTCTGGTAGGTAACTACCTTTAAAAGGTGAATGTTGCAGGACCATTCTTTTGTTGGTGGAAGATAGAATTAGTGTGTTTCTGGACAAGTTTGCTATGGGTGATCTCAATGTCTCTCCTATCATATGGTGTAGTTCAGCTTGCTAATACATGTGCCCATTAGCATACCAGTAGGTGATAAACACAGATAAGGCCAAGCAGTGAAAGAAAAGCTGGTGATGATTGCTAGGGTACAGTGGTCAGAACCAAACACATGACAGTTACCTCTTAAATTTCTATTTTGTAACATCTTTTATGAAAAAAAGTCAGTTTTATAGCAGAAAAAATAAGTCAGTAGAGGGAGCCAAACATTTTTACTTTCAGAAATAGTGTTATACTGTAAGTAAATTTTATAGCTGGTTGAGAGAGGCACTCCCTAAATTTTCAAGGTGTTAGGGAGAAAACGCTTTTATCAGCTCTATTGCCTATAAACATTAAGCTAATGGCTGGCCTATGTACCTTCCTGTTGATGAAGTCGTGTGCCATTTTACTGGATTTCAATTTACTCTGAAAATACTGTACTTTAAGTAATGGAACTCTGCTTACCTTTTACAGCGGAAGTTCAGAGTGAAATAGAAAGGATTTTTGAACTTGCAAGAACATTGCAACTGGTAGTCCTTGATGCAGACACTATTAATCATCCAGCTCAACTCAGTAAAACCTCTTTGGCCCCTATTATAGTATATGTGAAGATTTCTTCTCCTAAGGTAAGTAGGCTTGTTGTTGTTTGCTGTGTAGTCAAAGTTTGCCAAAATGTTTACATTGTAGTTATTGACAGGCTACATCTTTATCCATCTTAGGGAGTTTGAAGAGATGTTAAGATTGATATAAGCAAAGCATGATTATTAGTTTCATGGCTTAGAACAGCTGAGTCTCAAAGTGTGGTGGTCCTCCTGGGGGGTGGGTTCTAAGACACTTTCAGAGGGTTCACAAGGTCAAAACTATTTCCATAATAAAACCAAACACCATTCACCTTTTACACTGCTTTGACATTTGCAGTAATGATGCAAAAGTAATGGTGGGTGGAACTGCAAGTGTCTCAGCATGAATCAAGACTGGTACCAGACAGTACTGGCAGTTACTGTACTCTTCCCTCCAGGTTTTAATCACCAGTTAAAAATAAATAACCAGTTTCACTTAATTTTACTAAATCTGACTCTCATACAAGCCTTTTAAATCCTGAGTAATAAAATAAGAAGTACATATGAGCTGCACATACCCAAGTACGTAAGTTATCCTGACGACAAGCATCAGTATGATTATTGGAGCTGTGAACTAACTAGCCACTTTTTCTACGGAATGCCATTATATGAAAGAACTGACAGGCGATGCTTTTTCAAACTTGGTTATCACATCAAGGAAAACAACGAACAGCCTTTGCTACCAATGATAAAACTCAAGCTTTCAAAGAAAAATTAGAGTTTTGGAAAACTTGCATCCACCTTTGAGAGCTTGGAAGCTTATACTAACAAAGACTTTTCTAACGAGATCAACGACAACATTAATAAATACGTATTAATGTTGTATAATGAAGTGTATCAAACATTTGGAAGATCTGAAGAAGTCAGAAAACCATTATTTCCAAATGACCAAGTGATGTTACAAACCATGCATGGTAAAAAATCCACTCAAATTTCAAAACAGGCCAATGGAATTTAACGTAATGGAGTAAGAAAAGTTCATCAACATGGTTTCCTATTTCACATAGTAACTATTCTTTAAGAAAGCAGTGTAGTTTCTACATTGCAAAGAGTATTCACAATAATACTCTTATGTGAAAAGGCTACTAAATATTCCTTTTCTCAATTACGTATTTTTAGGAGGCTGGATTTCATCACACATTCCAGCCCACACTATACGTTGCAGCAGATTACACGTAAAGCAGACAGGAGACTTCGGTTGTCTTCTTTGAAGCCAGGCACTAGGGACACTTGCAAAAAGTATGGCTATTTTTATAAAGTAATTCATGTTAACATGTAATGGGCTTAGCATTAATTTGTAAATGGATATTTAATTTCTAACACAATAAATATTAGATATAGTTCACATAAAGAAATACTTTTTGGATTTCTCAAGACTTGTTTAAAACAAAGGCGCAGAAGACAGTCTGATAACTGCTAGCCTTGAAAAAAGAGTCAGAATAAGCTCCATGGCTAGTTATTTTGTTTTTTATTTTTAGAGCTCACAACTGAGATTCATGTTAATATCAAATTTGCAGGTAATGTTATGTTACACATCATATATTATAGCTCAACCTTTAGCGTTTGTGGTATATGTATATAAAAAGTCACCTGAGGAAGGACTGAATCTTGTAATTTAAGTACAGTTATCCTGCTGTTAAAAAAATCTTATCTTTTACAGGTTTTACAAAGGTTAATAAAATCTCGAGGGAAATCTCAAGCTAAACACCTCAATGTCCAGATGGTAGCCGCTGATAAGCTGTCTCAGTGCCCACCAGTAAGTTCTCTTTATGTACACAGTATAATCCAGATGAAGAGATCAGGCCTGGCGTTACATAAAAAAAACAAGCAAACAAAAAGGCAGTTAGTTAAATGCCCGTTGGAGGAAAGAATCCTCACCACTCAGCGGTGAGCTTCATTCCAAAGAAGTGACCGGCCCAGATCTACGGCAAGTCCTGTGGTCTCACCTTGTACCTAACACCTCATTCGTATCTTAAATGAACAAGATTGTGGCTTCAAAAACTTGGTTTATAAGATAGATTTGGGGTTACCCCTATTAATCATAGGGAGAGCCTGACTGCCTCTTAATAATTGTCTGAGAAATTGATTTGAGACCATGTAAAAACAAAGGTCTAAACAATCAGCTAACCAGATTCTGGCATCTGAATACATTCCTACTTCTAAATTCATGCCTTACACACCATTCCTTGAGACAATAGATGGCTTCTGCTTTTTCTTTTTAAATGCCAAGTATTTCAGAAGCTCCAAGAATTATGACTATACATACACTGTGATGCTTAGAGTATGTTAACATTTATGATAAACACTTTGAAGTACTCTGAAGTTCAGACCATGTCAAATCATCAGTGGTTTCACCTGCCAAATTTCATATTCCAATCTTGCCTCTTTCATTTCCAGGGTTAAACTTCTCAATCTATGTCAGAAAACCTTCTTCCGGTACTATTCAAATAGTATTCTTTTCTTTTTACACTTCTTCCTACCACGGTATCAATTCCTTTTTCACTATCGACAGACCACCTCTCCATGCCCTTTAACAACCGTTATTACACCTGTTCACTCTCTAGCCATTGCTGTTGGTTCAGCATCCAGTGTTCTAAACAGCGATCTAATCTGACTAAATAGGGCAGTCAACAGATGGAAAAGGAGCACAGAAGCCATAGCAAATACAAAGTGGTGCAGCGCATGAAACCCTCCCTCCTTTCGTGAGGCTGGGGGAAGGGGCGTGGGACTGGAGTCAATCCTGGGCTGGTGTAAGTGTACTGTCTGAAATGTTGCCTCTGCAGGAGCTGTTTGACGTGATCTTGGATGAGAACCAGCTCGAGGATGCTTGTGAGCACCTTGCCGACTACCTGGAGGCCTACTGGAAGGCCACCCATCCTCCCAGCAGCAGTCTCCCCAACCCTCTCCTCAGCCGTACTTTAGCTACTTCAGCTCTGCCTGTTAGCCCCACGCCTGCCTCTAATGCACAGGTGAGAGGAGTTATCATCTATGTGGAGAAACCAGGGGCTTAAGGTCACATCGCTGGGCTCCGAGCCCAGATACCAGCGCAGTGCTCGTGCCAGCCGAGTAGCTCTATCCACACTGAGACAGATGTTGAGTCATTTAAACATCTTCCGTGTGAGTGGTGTACCTGTAAGAAAGGCAGTGTAAACACAATGTGCTGTGAATATATATAGACTTTAGAATCACTAAGTACATGTTCTTTAAGACGGGTAGAAGAACTTTCTACACAGCAGCACAGACAGTGGACTCCAGCTGCCTGGCTGCAGACCTGGGCTCCGCCTTTTACCAAGTATAAAACCTTCAATACGCTTTTTATCTGCTCTTTACCTTAGATGTCTCAGGAATAATACTGGCAACCAATCTCAGGGCTGTTTTAGCAATCAATTAATAATTAATGTGACTGCTAGGAGAGTGCTTGTCTCACAGTGCCACTTAAGCGTTTCATACCTCATCATTTTTTCTCCTTAATCTTTACCTTAAGCCTGAGCCAACATCCTAAGGCCTTTCATCTTCCCACGTGTATTCAAATGGAGGTAGTTCAGTATACACCCACAAGGAGAAAAATCTCAGTGACCTGTATCAGTATTTAAACCACAGAAGAACATATAAAACAATGCCCTCCCTCCTTCATTTAATTATTTAAATTAAAAGGTTATTCTGTGCACTGTTCTAGGTGCGTACAGATTAACAAAGTCCAATGTAATATAGTACAAACCTTGTAAGTGCTAGTGGATATCATCAAAAGAATTTAGTGACTCAGCTAGATGAGATTTCATTTCACCATTCTGGATGTTTAAAAAGGAACCAAACGTGAATGGAGTTGCTGTGTGATGCATCAGTGCCTCCCACTCTGACCCTGGTTGATACCTGTGTTTTCTGCCTTCGACCGCAGGGCTCTCAAGGTGACCAGAGGACTGATCGCTCTGCTCCTGCCCGTTCTTCCCAAGCTGAACAAGAACCCTGCCTGGAACCAGTGAAGAAATCCCAGCACCGGTCTTCCTCCTCAGCCCAGCACCACAACCACCGCAGTGGTACAAATCGAGGCCTCTCTAGGCAAGAGACATTTGACTCAGAAACCCAAGAGAGCCGAGACTCTGCCTACGTGGAGCCGAAGGAGGATTACACCCACGAACATGGGGACCACTACGTCCCTCACCGTGACCACAACCACAGGGATGAGCCCCACGGGAGCGGTGAGCACAGACACAGGGAGTCTCGGCACCGTGCCAGGGACCTGGACCGAGAGCAGGACCACAACGAATGCAACAAACAACGAAGCCGTCATAAATCCAAGGATCGCTACTATGACAAGGATGGAGAAGGAATATCCAAAAAAAGGAATGAGGCTGGGGAGTGGAACAGGGATGTTTACATCCGCCAGTGACTTTGGCCCTTTTGTTTGTTTTTGTTTTTTAAAGTCTTGTATAACATCACCCTCAATCTAAATCTTTGGGGTCGGCATTGCAATCATACGTGATCTGTCTTGTATATTTTGTATTGCTGTTGCTTAAGTAGCAATAGCATGACAGAGTATTAATATACTTTTTTTTTTCTTTTGTAAGTGCTATATAAATTTGCCTGGTACAGCTGCAGTCCTCTGGTCGTGTCCTGGACTTTTCAAAAACTGCTTGGGGTAGCTGTCACTTGAACAAAATCTGTTGCCATCCAGGTGGCGTTAGTATTTTAGGAAATGTCATTGATGTTTTCAAAAAATGTAGTTGCTATATCTAGCAACCCAGAATTGGCTCAGATAAAAAGTGGAATTTCTTGATTCTCCATATTTTTAATATGTAGGCACCTGATTTGCATATTAATTCATCCATGGACCACTGTTTCTTGCTTGTACCTCTGGCTGACTAAATTTGGGGACAGATTCAGTCTTGCCTTACATGAAGGGGATCATAAAGTTAGAATCTATTTTCTATGTACTAGTACTGTGTACTGTATAGACAGTTTGTAAATGTTATTTCTGCAAACACCTTCTTATATATAATATAAATATAAATATATATATATATATCAGTTTGATCACACTATTTTAGAGTCTTAATGCCAAGTGAGCAGATTTGCTTTACGAATTACAGGGACTAGAAATGCCCACCTTCAGGAAATTTGTAATAACATCGTCTAGGCACCTACCCCCCCTTCTAGTAGAAAGTCTGTATGTACATACTGTAAATATGTGTGATTGCTTGACTTGAAAAGGTTTAATTTCTGAATGTTTTACCATCCTTGTAAGTTTATAATTTTGACCATAAATTATGGTAAATATAACCAAACTCCAAAGGTTGTTCTAATCCATGCAGCTCACACAGATTGTGACACATTCTTAGTAGCTAGTGTCTCATGTCACTGCACTGGAGGCTACAAGCCGGAACTCTGTCTGCACACATGTGTGCGTCCGTGTGTAAGAGTATGTGTGTGTGATTGGTTGAGATGAATCTGTATGCTGAAGACTAAAAGAAACTAGAGACTGATACCTACAGTTCCGCCCACCTGGCTTTGAACCGAACTGTGCTGCGTGTTGCTTTTATGGTCATGGAGCAGTCAGGGAGCATGCTGCCAAAGGTGACTGGGAGAGTGTTCATCTGTAGGCTCCTTGTTTTTACTGCTAGGGAGCAAAAAATACAGGCAACTTTTAACTGTGAGTGTTTCACTGGAAATGTACAATCTTTGTGTGTTCGAGTATTTGTTATAGAAAGAAAAGTTTACACAGCTTGTAGAATTATGTTGTGGGAAAATAAATTTTTCTACCTTCTCCCACTTCCTTTTCTAACCCTGCTTATTGTTCCCGTTATCTCCCAGTTCACCTATCATTTCACCCCCCGCCACGAACTCAAACGAGTTTCACTGTCTGTCAAAACCTAGAAGTGCTTCTTATAACCAAAGTTTCTTCTCTTCAGAAGTAATCAGGGCAAATGGGGTGACTTGAAGTGAACAAAATGAGAACATTTTCTTACATGAGACATCTACTCGGAAGGGGAAGCAAGAAGATACTATCTCCACACCTCAGTGACACTGCTGTAAGCAGCTCACAGTGTGACTGTCATGCTAAGGCTAAAACCTCTCCATGTCTCCTACGTGTACATTCTGTCCAGTTGTCACTGGACAGGTAAGACAGTATTAGGTGTACAAGTACCTAGCACTTGAAGTTTGTCCTTGGAAAATGCCTGTCTATAATTGCCTCACTTCAGATTTGTACATTATATAATTATTATTTTGTTAAACAAGTTAATCTATTTTTTGTGTTGCTTCTTTGATTATTCTAGGTTCTTGCCAAATATTCTTGGACCTTTATAAGTAAAACTGTTTCACATTTAACTACTTATTTCCTTTACCCCCAACAAAGCTCATTTTTAAAAATGGGTTACCTATATAGCGTTTTATCAGTTAATATGAAACACTTCCCTAAGACTCAATATATTTGTTAATTAGCTCTGTACTGGTGACGTGAATTTATTTATTGAATATAACAACTGTAGTCATTACTAATATGTACTTATGCAAAGTAGTTGCATCATTGGAAAACTGCATTCCAATTAAGATTACTTTTATAAAATATTTCGGATAATCTTTCCATCATGATGAGATGTTGCTGATCACCAGCCTCATCCTTTGCTACATGTAATTTCATCCCAGTAATGATTTCAGAATATTTAAATTCTTAAAGTATAACTGGTATGTACCTAAGCTGCTGCTACCATTAATCCCTTTCAAAGAGTCGTGCTGATGGACTCTAATTTTAAATTCCGCCTTTGGATTCTTAGTTTTTCACTTTCCTGTGAAACATGTTAGTCCAAATCCGAGTATTCCTCAAAAAACTATATTGCAGGACTTGGCATCTATACATGAAAACTGTATGGTGAGCATCCCTGTAAACAGTATGCACTAAATTTGTAAAGAAGAAATAATCCCAGAGACATTTACTGGGATGTTTTACTGACCTGTGGGATGCAAAATTACAGTCCTTTCACACAGCAAAAGCTTAATCTTAACTTACTCAGTTGCAGAATCATGATTTTTGTAGTCTACCTAGAAAATGCTGGAAATGTTAATAGTTCTACTCTGCTTTTTATTTTTTGTCGAACCCATTTCAGTTTTTCCTGTGCTTTTTCTTTACTGTTCATTTACGTTACTGTTACAGAAAGGTGCTGCTAAATGTAGGGTGTCTTCGTCACAGTGCACTCGGGACAACGCCACACTTTTAACATGGCCTGCGACACATGCCTGTTAAACGTTCGCTGTCGGCTACATTGAACTGTTTGACAAACCAGATCTGAAGGCATTCACATAAAACAAATAAAGAGCTGGCATCTACACTGTTTACTATTAGTAGTATCAATTGTGACTTTAGGAATGATTCTTATAGTTGAGAATATATTAAATATTCAACACTTCCCATTTGTGGAGCATTTCCCTTGGGGCAATGCCAATCAGTGATGTTACTTTAGTGACCTTCCATTATGTATGATAAAATCATAACTTAAGGTGGGTAAAGGATCTTTTAAATATGAGCACAGCTGAATAATCTTCCTCCACCTTAATACTACATTTGCAGCAATTCTTCATGAAGATCCATTTTCATGACAAATTGAATTCCTCACCCTTGTCCGTTTGCTCAACGATGTAATGCTGCTAGTCTTGGAAACTCTGATCTTATTAACACTTTTAAGAGTCACACTGTTAGAGAAAAAAGGTAACTAAGTGGTTTGGGGTCAGTTGTTTAATTTTGGCTAAATTATATTTTTAACTATTTGTACTTCACTTTGCTATTTAAACTAAATGTGATACAGGATTTTGAAGTAAAATGTACTCACTGTTGAATTAAAATGTTTTTTTTTCTGTTTCACAGAAATATGTCAACACTAAATATGTTAAAAGATAATATATTAATTTTCTTCCACACTTTCCTGATCTTTTTCCTTTTTATTGTATTTTTTCCTTATGTTTCTTTGTCCTTTAAGATTGAATGTGTTTCATTTTCCTATTTGCTTTATTTGAAGGAAAGAAACCCACTGAAATGTATGTTAAAGGAAAAAATTTTAACAGTATTATTTGTCCTTAGTGTTTTCAATATGCAAATATTTTCTTCTATTTTGCCTGTGACACTTATGTTTTGCTATTTATCAGGAGTAATCAAAAATGTACGTATTTGCTACCATTTTCATCCCAGCTTAGCACATGAGGCTTTATAGACATCGTGAGAAGAAATGGATTTGGTGGATTTTTTTTTTTTTTACCACAGAGGGAAGGGAGGGAGAAAGAGAGAGAGAGAAACATCAATGTGCAGTTGCCTGGGGGTCATGGCCTGCAACCCAGGCATGTACCCTGACTGGGAATCGAACCTGCAACACTGATTTAATGGATTTTTAAAAATACATTTAAAATTCGGGGAAAGAGTCTGAGCCCTAGAAACAGAAGTGCCACAGATAAACACCATTTCTCCTCAGTCAATGACACCTCCTGGGTGTAACGCAGAATGCGGTATGTAAAGAAATCAGTTACATATCTGAGGCTGACTGCACTTGAAATCTTCTTTCCTTCCTTCATTAAGCATCTATTGGTGATCTGCTCTGAAGCAATGACAGAAAACAGAGTCCCTGCCTCCAGGATCTTCCCAAGTCCTAGGGTAGAAGTTACAGGCACGCCTAATAGACTAGAGTGTTTATGAAGTGCCACACCACCAGTGGATATGGGTCCTAGGGGTATAGAGAGACAAATGTCTAACCCAACCTCAGGGCAGGGTATTCAAGAAAGGCTTCTTCAGCCCCAGCTGGGTGGCTTGGTTGGAGTGTTGTCTTGTACACCTAAAGGTTTCAGGTTCGATCCCCTATCAGGGCATATACCTGGGACGTGCGTTTGATCCCTGGTCAGGTCATGTACGGGAGACAGCTAAACAATGTTTTCTCTCTCCCTCTCTCCAAAATCAATGAATAATATCCTCCAGGAAAGATTAGAAAAAAACAACAAAAAAGGCTTCTTCAAAGATGAGGCCATCAAAAGGTCTTACCTGATCCAGGAGGCCTTGCAGTCTTGTTGGATATAATAGTTACGAAACACTCTTAACGGAACCCTATGGGTGAGAAAAACTATTAGGCAATTGTTTACTTTATATGCCCAAGCCTCAGGGATTCTGGGATAATTTGAATAAAAGTTAACAAGAACAGACGTATATAACTCTACGTCTAATATCTCTACATCAGACAGCCTTTAAATTAGGACTGGGTGTTTAAATATACCTTATCTATAAGGAGGTAGGATGAAGCAAGAGTAAGCTTATAACTGATTTTTTAAAAAATCAGTCACTTTGGCCACTACAGGGAGACGTTTGATCACTTCTGTGGTTTGGATTTTGTTAATGTTTTTATCTAAATTCAGATTTGATTGTACAGTGGTCCTTTTGTGTTCCTATCACAGCCACAACAGCCTTGTCTGATGCTGGTGCTCTGTGAGACGAAGTTCAACAGGAGGACACCACAGCCTGCCTGTGGGTGCTGGGCCAGTTCCCAGCTGTTGGATGCTGGTGATCTCTTTCTCACTAGTCACATCTCTATGAACTGTTATAGCTCGTTCCAACAGATGATAAAAAGTACTGACATTGTAGAATGTTCTCGTTTTTTAATTCTACAAAGTGAAGAAAAGATTTTACTTTTTAGTTTAAAAGCATGGGGAAAAAAACAGTAAAGGCAGAATATCATTTAGAAGAGATCCAGACTTCATTTGAAAGAGGGTTTATTTATCAAATAGTAGCAAAAAAAAAAGAGGTAAAATACTCAGCTTAGTTATTGGCACATAGTAAATGTCATACTTCCCATGCCCTAAATTCTTAAGGACCTACACCTACTTAGGAACTCAGGAATGAAAACCAATTATTTAGTATAATCAAATTAAATATTGCTGATTTTTTCCATGTTAGAGTCACTGATTACCATTACAAATTACTTGCATTTTTTACAAAGTAAAACACAAGACACCAAATAAAAATGTTTCAGATTTCTATAGGCATCTCCTTTTTGTTAAATTCTGCTAAATTCAAAAGGAAAAATGATTTTAAAGTTACAAAGTATAACCTCATACCACTCCCCTGATTACTTTCCCTGTGTCTTTTGATCCTTGGTGAAACAGCTGGCAGCCTTTTCTGTTACCTTAGCAATGACACCATTCATCACTTGGCCTAACAACAGATTGGTTTTTAAATTAAAAAACACACACTGAACAAATGTTTGGCATTTTCATTTCTAAGGATCATTCTCCTGTATACTTTTGCATTTTATAAATTTTGCAATAAAAAAACCTATACAATCCTTATTTGCCATCCAAACTATGTCTTCTACTCTGGTCTCTCTGAGAGAATCCAAGTTCACGTCCTGTAATGGCACAACAGATGGATCAAATCGCTGCAGCTGTTTCAACTGTTCAAATGACAGGCCAGCTCCCATCATTCCTTCTCCTCCAATCTGTGGTTCCTGTTTAGAGGAAATGAATAAATATCATGAACATCCTACAATTAGTAAGTGTGTGTGCCTGTGCACAATTTAAGTTAAAAGACAAATTCAGTTGTAATTACAAGTTCCAAAAACAGAAAAAATGAGTAAACTGCTTTTATTTTTGTAGAATGTACTGTTTTTCCAGGTAATGAAGTGGAAAAGCATGAATATATGGTCACCTGAAGAAGGAGTACCTATTACAGCTTATATGCTTATCAAATACCATGAGAGTGCAAAGGACCTGAGCTTTAGTTAAAAAATATATGGTTTTAAATCACAGCCCTGCCACATTTTAGCTGTGTGACCTTAAGTAATTTTATCTGTTTCTTCATTTATAAAACAGATAAAATACTCAGATCTGAGGCTTAAATAAAGAAGGTGGTATTGTATAGTGGATGACATTTCAGGGTATATGGTCCTGAATCAATGGAACATTATTAGTAACAGCAATAGATACAAATTCAGCTTTTATTTATGAGACTCCCCCAAACTGACAGGAGTCCCTTGGGCCTCTAAAGATGCCTGTCTCTGGCGCATACCAAGTGGATAAAGTTTCTGTTGCTTTTAAATGCATTAGAATATCAAAAGGAGATCAATTAAGGCAGCATCAATCAGTTTAGAGGAATAAAGAATTATCAGGAATACTTGCAAACAACTGTGCAAAAGATCCATAATCCTAATCTAAGTCCCCATTTCACAGACAAATGTCTGTATGTTACTGAAGATATATTTTCTTAGGTATATGTCTTAAAAGCTATCGTTTATTAATCCATGGGGGAACCTCTTTTAGATATATATTAGGTATATATGTACATACACACACAAAATGCCAAGTGAATTCTGAAGTCTTCCTTTCATCTACAATGTAATTAATTTCTGCAATGAGAAACCATCTCCAGATTGCTTTTTATTTATGTATTCCAATTACCTACTAGAATTCTACACAGGAAGGTATTAAAGTTATATGTTCAATGTATCTGAATGAATGAGTATTATATAGATGTAAGCTTAATCTCAAACATCATGGACTAAAAATCTAGTTATAGGTATCTTTTCAATAAACATCATAACAGAAAGACAGTGCTAGGTAAAATAAAGTAAAAGACAGCTTTTAAAATGTTACCTAATTTACATAAGAAACTGTAAAGAAGCAACAATCCTGAGCCATCTCCCCACCTTGTTAGTCTTTTGATAGCCCAGTTATTTCGAAATTTGCTTGGGCTTTGATGTGACATGAGAAAAACTGCTAAAAATGTTCCTTATTTGAAAAATCTGTAACTGGAAAGGGGAAAAATACTTCTGCAAACAAAATTCTGAGCAACATGAACAGAGTCACAGTAAGAAGAAAGATCTAACAAAAATACACCTGAGTTCTGTGGCATTTTAACACAATTACACAGGGAAAAACTCTGAAGAATGTGAAATTCTCTATGGACAGTGTAAAAGAGATTTAATGAGAGAAGTATTTTTGCTTATGGCAATTTGTTTTGAAAGTTTCACCTGACATATTTCTTCATAAAACAGCCTGTGTTTATCACTGCTCTTAAGATTCCATGATGTATCATGTCACACTAAGGAAACGCAACGTGTTCTTACCTGGGCCTGAAGCTGAAGAAAAGGAAATGTCATCAGGGCCCAGGCCACTTGCTCTTCATTCTCTGCCAGTGTGACTGTGCACGTGCTATAAACCAGCACTCCCCCTGGCTTCAGCAGCTTCACTGCCTAAAGAAAAATGTGAGCAGACTACATGTAGCCAAAGGCTAACTAAACATTTTAAGGAATTTTATATCTATATGATACCTTCCAAATATCTGGGGTAAATAAAATGATTGTCTGTATGATCAGGATTTTTTCCTAATCGATGTTCCAGACTAGATACATGTCATTATCTTGGAGCCTTTAAATCCCATTTGGACCAAGACTTGCCCAAATATGATCATTTGGTTTTATGACTTTAGATTACCAAATGTTTATTCTTAGGCCAATCTTCTTTTTAAATTCCATATTCATGAAACTTCTGAACAAGATGGAGGCATAGGTAAACATATCTTACCTCCTTACACAACCACATCAAAATTACAACTAAGCTATAGAACAACCATCACTCAGAACCGTCAGAAATCAACTCGAATGGATGCCTGACAACTATGGAATTAAAGAAACCACATCCATTCAGACTGGTAGGAGGGGTGGAGATGCAGAATGGGTGGGTCCACATCCATGTGCGGTAGATAAAAATTCAATAGGGATGTCTCAGGAACCAGTACTCCCAGCCCAACACCAGGGCCCCCAGCCCAGGGTTCCAGTGCCAGGAAGCTAAGTCCCCATAACTTCTAGTTGCACAAACCAGCTGGGATTAAGTTGGTGGAAGAAACCACTAAAGTCCCATGCAGTTCCTTTTATAGAACCCACAGAAAGACTTACTCAGACTCCCTCTGAGCTCCAACAGGTAACAGTTTGAAAGGCACCAATGGCACAGGGAAAGAATTGAATTTTCTGGCATCAAGGAAGAGCTGGGGGACAGCTTTCCCCACATAGAGAGATAGGCAGAGGCCATTGTCCCTTTTCTGAACCCTCACTCCACAGAGCTACAAAGCCTGCAGGCAGGTGCCATTTCTGAGACTCAATCAACCTGGCTAACACAGTTTGCCCTGTCTTGGAGATCCCCTGAGGCTCTGTTGCACTCAACTTATCAGTGAACACAAGCTGTTAACTGTGGTTTTTTTCATAAGAATGGCT